ATAAAATCTAAGGCGAAGGAAAAAAAATGGTGAATATGAATTGTTTCTTTGGATAATATGGTTTTTGAGGAAATCAAAGATTTTTTTTTTTCAAGGGATAAATTCCGAATCACCAAATATCTTAAACGAGGTAATAAAAGAATGTAAAGATTGAAATAAGACTTAAATCCTTATCTCTAATACACGTACGTTAGGAGAATCAACCAGTAGCACAATAATCACCAATTATATGATGTCATATTGATGGATCCTGGAAAAAGACAAATCCAGCTTCTGGAGTAAGGTGGTTTTGCCATCAAAGAAATCAAACTATCATATTAGGAGCAAAGAGGACAAGACCACTGCGATCACCCTGCATTCGGAGATGGTTATGGGCAATGCTGATTATTTTGGATAACAATGTGAATTCTCATAATTTTAAGACCGATTGTTTTGAGTTAATCCAATTTTTGTAATAGCATACAGGAAGACAAATTATGTAGTTCGTTCACCTCATTCTAGATTTTTGTTTTTTTTGTTATAAAAGTGCAAGTGATTCACATCCAACTTAGATAATCAATCGTGAGGGTATTTTCAAGTGAATTTGTTTGGTTGGTAAAAAAAATAACCGAAACATTTAATAGAAAACAAAACTCATCAATTTTTCGAATCATCAATTTTGTCTTTCGGTATAAAATACATCAATTGGGTTATTTAGAGCATCATTATCCCAAATATCCATTTAGGGTCTCTTAGTTATTTTTTAATATTTTTAAGCAATAAATGTGTGTTAAGAGACTCCGTTCAGAGACCCGAACATTTATGTACTCCAATGCAAATCTCTTAATTAAGGGTTCTTAAAAAAAAATTATTAAACATTTTTTTTTATTAAACTTAAAATTTATTAGCAACGATTCAATTCAAACCAGATTAAAAAGCAATTCATTTCAGACCAGATTCGAAATCAACATCAACGTGAACCTAAAGGAAACTTTCTATCAATTCAAAAGATCACAGAAATATTATTTACCTGTGTTGCAATTGTTTGACGAACCTTCATGTRTCTTCAAYGATCCATCCATCTCCCACACAAAGACTGAAAATAATTCACAGAGAATCAGAACTGACCGATAAGTATAACAAACAAAAGAGACAGAATCAACAGACACAAACTAACACAACTAGCATAGAATCAATTTAAGACATGCATGAATTAAAGGATTCAGACATACAGACAAAAAAAACAGAGCTTTACCTTTAGATTCGACCGACCATCAATAGTCGCCGTTTTGATTCTTCGATGAGAGACAACGAAAGAGAGGTCGCCGTTTTGCTTTCGAGAGAGAGCTGGGTGGTTTAATCGTCGATGAAGAAACAGAGGCGGAGTCGTAGAGGAGAGACTCCGAGAGAGARGCCGAGTGATTCATCGTCGAGGAGAGATCACAAAAGAGAGGCGGAGTCGTCGACGACAGCCACCGAGAGAGACGCCGACCATAATCGACGAAGAGAGATCAAGGACGAGAGCCGGAATCGTCGACTGATTCTTCCGTCGAGGAGAGATCAATCACGACGATTTGGATTCGAAACCGACGGATTACARGAAGTCGG